ATGTATGTATGTATGTATGTATGTATATATATATATATATATATATATATATATATATATGTACGCGGTCGTGGCCACAAATGGGGTGGCCAGAAACGCAGTGAAAGGCTCGCGAGTGCCGAAAGACTTGGGTAGGAGACGACATGGAAGACACAGCAGAATGTGGAACGGCGGTTTGGGCTTACCAATGACTGTGTCTTTGGGACTATGGAAGGAGCCGCGTGAGGGCCTTGGGGGGCTTCGGGACCGTGTCGCAGCGGGGCTCGACGCCGAAGTTTGTTTTGCGCCGCCGTACGCCGTTGTTGGGAGGCCTCGCATTCTGAAGGCTAATCTCACGTGGACCTCATTGGAGCCTTCTGGAGCATTCTGAGGGCCTCTGTGGGACGTGATGCAGTCCCGTTATGGTTTGGGCCCGTCTTGGGGCGCGTATTGGCTCTGTTGGGCTGTCTTGGAGTCACGTTCGGGCTCCTGGCCCGTTTTGCACTTGTCTTGGGAGCCTCTTCGGGCGTTTTCGAACTTCTGTGGGGTCCTTGCTGGATCTTTTGGGACTCTTGGGGGCCTCTTGTGGCTTCCTAGGGGCCTCTTGGGGGCCTCTTGGAGCCTCTTCGGGGCCTCTTGGGGGCCTCGTGGGGCCCCCTGTGGCCTGTCCCCAAGGCAGCCCAACATGCCCCCAAGAGGGCCCCCAGACGGCCCAAGAGGGCCCCAAGATGGCCCCAGAGGCGCCCGGACAATTCGAGCTGACATTTCGCGCTCTCTCCGCCCCAAGATGACCCCGAGACCGCCAGCCGGCCCCCAAGAGGCCCACCCACCAGAAGCCCCAGGAGGCTTCCAAGACGCCCAAAGCAGTCCCCCAGAGGCCCTCAAGAGGGCCCAGAGAGGCCCCATAGGACAGCCCGAAAACTGCCTCGAAGAGGCTTCCGAGGGAGGATCCCTCAGAGAGCGCTGAGACCGCGTCGGCCACCCAAAAGAGATCCCCAGGAGCGATCCGAGAGGAGACCGGATGTTCGGCCACACGCGCGCCGAGGCCACTGAGACATGCGTGTGTTGGCCTCTTCTCACGCCTCCCTTCTCGCTCCACGCTCCTCGCTCCTCCCCGCTCTCTCCTCGCCCCTCACCTCCCTCTCCTCGCTCCTGGTTCCTCCCTTCTCACTCCTCGCTCCTTCCACCTCTCTCCTGGCCCCTCGCTTCTCCCTCCCGGCTACCGGCGTCCGCCTCCCTCCTCTTCGGCTCTCCCTCATCCCCCCTCGCCTCTCTCTCTCTCTCTCTCTCTCTCTCTCCTCGGCCGTCGCTCCTCCCTCCTCACTCCGTGCTCCTCGCTGATCGCGTCTCGCTTCCCCCACCTCCCCCCTAAAGCGCTGCTCCTCGCTCCTCGCTCAACTCACGAACTGCAGGCGCGTCATCTAGCAAGGGTGCCAAGGAGCAGCACTCTACAGCCCCAAGCAGCAACAGCGAACACCAGCAGTCCACAGCAGGCAACGAAGGCAGATCAGAAGCAAGCGGCAGCAACAATATGCCGCAGGCAGCAGCGCCCTGCAACTGCAGGCAGCGACATCAGAGGCGAAGCTCGGGCCCGAGGCCATCTCGAAAGCCTTTCGGCAACTTCTCCACCTCGGTCCAGCGTGTCCTCTCGGACAGACTGCGTGGCCGGCAGGCCACGGGTCGGCCCTGGTCAGCTACAGCGCTGGGATAAGCGCGTTGGAGAAGGGAAAGCAGTGGCAGCGAGCCTTGCTTTTGCTCGGCGAGATGCGGGGCGCGAAGGTGGATCCCAACGTTTTCAGCTACAGCGCCGGTATGAGCGCGTGCGAGAAAAGCGAGCAGTGGCAGCAGGCTCTGGCGCTGCTCAGCGAGATGTGGGAGGTGCGGTTGACGCCCAACTTCGTCTTGCCGACATTGCGGTCGCACGTGCGTGCGAAAAGGACCTGGAGATCAAGTGAGCCCAAAATCGCTCTGGAGCGGTTCTTGAGCCCCTGGCGAGGCGCAGACCAGATTTGACTCGGAGGTACCGTGTGAAGTTTGTCCGCGGCCTCCACGCTAGGCGAAGACGGCTTTCGAGACGGCCAGCGAGCGCTCCAAGACGCTCAAGATTGCTTCAAGACCGTCCCAGGGGCCTCCAAGAATGCCCCCAGAATCGCCCAGAACGGCCCAGAAGCATTGAGAAGACCGCCCGAGGAGGCCGAAATCACTGATTTCCCGTTGGATGTTCGATGTTTTTCGGCTTCTCCACATGTCGCGCGACGGCAGCCCAAGGCAGCTCCTGGATCCACCCAGGACGCCCCAAGATTGCCTGAAAGGCCCCGTTCGGAGCCTCAGGCGCGAGGGCAAGACCTCTTGCAGGGCGCCCTCTGAGCCCTCGCGGTGACGAGGACGATCTTTAACGCAAAGGTGGCGAGTAAAATTCTTCAGGAGGAGGGGCAGCCTTCCCAAGGGTACCCCTGGCATCCTTGCCCCTTCGGCCCATCCTTGGCCGCTCTCGCCGGCCGCGCCCCGCTCGCAAGGTGTCGACATGGCTTTCCAAGGCTCCTGCATCCTCATGAAACGGGCTGACTGCATCAGGAGGGAAAAAACACTGGCAGATTGAATCGTCGATCTTGAGGAAAATGCGAAAATCTGGGAAGTGGGGGGGGAAGACAAAGACCCAGAAAATATATAAGAATTTATCGGGAATCCTGGGGTGTGTGTGTGTATATTTATTTGTGTTTGTGGGCCCTTTCACTGTAGCGCCTCCCCGCTCCCTCCCAGAAACGCCCAGGGCTGGCGGCGTCGCGGCGCGGCTCGCGGCGAAGAGGGACAGCAGCGGGCGCGATTCAGCGGCAGCGCCCGGCGGCGGCGACGGCGGCGGCAGACGGCGACGACGGCGCGAGCAGTGCCACTGTCACCGAGCGCGTTCCACTATTCGCAGAGTGCCTACTCTCGGGGGCGGCCAAGAGGGGGGTGATGACTAGAGGGGGGTGGATATCATGGCGTGGGCTATGATATGTCCTCAGATCTCATGGCGCCTCTTCTTGTTTCATTACGTCCCTGGCCCCGCCGATGGCCGCGCACATGCCGCTGGCCATGATGATTTGCGCCCCCCCTCCTGGACGCCCCCCTCTTGGCGGCCCCCGATACTCGCAAACGTGCGAAAAACAGATGTCTGCTTCGATGCAGTTTCTCGTAGATCTTCCCTGGCGGATCCAGTCCATTTGCGACTTAGTCCCTTTGCGAGTAGTGGAACGCGCTCGTCCAGCAGAGAGCGAGCATGGGTGCGGCAGCAAATCATGGGAGCCTGGTATAAGTACCCTCTGGCTCCCGTTTTTAGCGTCGACTGGCGTCGATTAGCGTCTGGGAGTCGATGAGGTAGCGCCGATCGAGCGTCGAGGTACGTCGATGTAGCGTCGATCAGCGTCGATCAGCGTCAATCGAGCGTCGATTCGCAAGAGCCAACAAGATGGCGTGGGAGGCTCCCGTGAGTTACCACCGAACATGGGGCCCAACTCTCTCGAGTGCGCCTGGCGGCACCACTTCTTCCCCCCGCAAGTGGACGTGGTCCACGGGTCAGCCTTGCAGCCTCTCCAACATGGCCGGCGGGAGGAGGAGGAGGAGGAGGAGGAGGAGGAGGAGGAGGAGGAGGAGGGGAAGAGGAGGAGGAGGAGGAGGAGGAGGAGGAGGAGGAGGAGGAGGGGGAGGGGGAGGAGGAGGAGGAGGAGGAGGAGGAGGAGGAGGAGGAGGAGGAGGAGGAGGAGGAGGAAGACGTCGGCCTCGGCGGGCCCCTGGCGCGGCCTCGGCGGGCCCGGCGCCCCTGGAGCGGCCCGGCGGTTCGAGCACGCTCCTGGACGCATCCAAGGAGCGCCGAGATCGGGCTGAGAGCCCCAGCATGGCCCCAAGACGGCCCCAGAGGCCATCCAGGCAGCTCGCGGCGTCCAAAATCGATCGATGTTCATGTTCTCGCGATTTCGAACCAAGAGCGGCCCAAGACGGCTCTTGGGGCCCTTACGATTGCTCCAAGGCTCAAGAGGCTCCGGCAAGGGCCCCAAGACGGCTCAGGAGGGTTCCAAGACGGCTCCCGGAGGAGCCCAAAACGGCCCAAGAGAGCCCCAAGATTGCCCGAGAAAGCCCCCAGGAGCCCCTAAACGGGCCCCAAGAGCCGCCCAAGAGGGCTCACAGAGAGCTCCGAGACAGCCCAAGAGCAGCCCCAACATGGCCCCAAGGCGGCCCAAGAGGCCGTCCAGACAGCTCGCGGCGGCCAAAAATTATTGTTTGTTGTTTATTTGATTGTTGCCTGGTTTTCAGGTTCTCGCGATTTCGAGCTAAGAGCCGCCCAAGATGGCTCCTGGGCCCCACGATTGTTCCAAGGCTCAAGAGGCTCCGACAAGGGCCCCAAGATGCCTCAGGAGTGCTCCAAGACTGCTCTCGGAGGAGCCGAAAAATTGCCCAAGAGAGCCCCAACACGGACATTGAGAAGGAGCCGCCAGACGGGCCCCAAGAGCCGCCCAAGAGGGCTCACAGAGAGCTCCCACACGGCCCAACACCTTCAATATGGCCCCAGCACGGCCCCAGAGGCCGTCCAGACGGGCCGCGGTAAAAAAAAGCATTCATTGTTCTATGGTTTTTGAAATATGTCCACCTTCTCGCCATTTCGAGCCAAGACCAGCCCAAGACGGCTGCTGGGGCTCCCCCGAACGCTCCAAGGCCGTCCAAGAGGATCCGGAAAAGGCCCCACCCAGGAGGGCTCGAAGATGGCCCAGGAGGCGCCCAAGATGGCCCAAGAGCCACCCAAGACGGCCCGACGCCAGCTCGAGAGGCGCCCAAGTCACGCTCAAGACCCCAGACGAGGCCCGAGGATACCTCCCAGCGGCCCCACAAGAGCCCAAGAGGCTTCCAAACTGCTCCCAGAGAAAAGAGGCGGACGACGGTTCTCAACGCTCTGGGGGCCTTGCATACTTCTGTTCGAGGGGGCGCTGTCGTAAGACCCGCTCTGAACACGTTATTTGACGTGGACGAAGTCCACGGGTTCGCCCTAGTCAGCTACAACGCTGGGATCAGCGCGTGCGAAAAGGGCGAGCAGTGGCAACGGGCCCTGGCACTGTTCAGCGAGATGTGTGCGGCGAATTTGGATCCCAACGTGAATAGCTACAGTGCCGGGATCAGTGCGTGCGAGAAGGGTGCACAGTGGCAGCGGGCTCTGTCGTTGCTCAGCGAGATGCGGGGGGTGATGGTGAATCCCGACGTCGTTAGCTACAGCGCTGGGATCAGCGCATGCGAGAAAGGCGATCAGTGGCAGAGGGCTCTGGCGCTGCTCGACGAGATGTGGGAGGTGATGCTGAAGCCCACAGTCATCCTTTTTGCACTGCCAGGGCCAGCGCGAGCGAGGGGCGCACCCGACGCTTCTGCGCTCCGCCGCGCCCGGAAGGCGGCTGCTCCTGTCACCGAGCGCGCTCCACTGCTCGCAAAGTGCCTACTCGCAGATCCCCCGCGGCGGATCCAGGCCATTTGCGAGGAGCTACAGTCGGGGCCCTGAAGAAGGAACCCTTTTCGTTGGGGAGGGGCTCCGTGTTCCTTAAGTGTTTCACAGCTTGCCTCAGGCTTGCCTTATGTTTTCGACAGGAAATCGAAGTTCAACTTGTGGAAAAAGGGGCCTCGTTCCTTCTTTAGGGTTCCTTAGGTCAACGCCCCGACTGTACTCTGCGAGTCGTGGAGCGCGCTCGCCCGTGTCTTGCGCCGCGCCGCCGCCCTGGGCGCCTCCAACACCTCCAGATCCTTTCGGCTCCCGGCCCCAGGCGAGCCTCCGAGGCCCACGGCCCAGCGGCCCAGACGCCCCCCCCCTTGGGCGAGCGAGGCCCTCCCAGATGGGCCCGAGGATGCCGTGAAAAAGGCATCCGCCCCCCCCCCCTCCCACACACACACACACACACACACACACACACACACACACAAACAAAAAAGAGCACGAAGAGCGTCAGACAAGGCCCAGAGGCCAGGGGGGCGCCACGGCGGCCCGACATGCCTCCGGAGAGCCCCGAGGCGGCAGCAACGAGGGCCTTTGGGCCTTCGGATGCCTCCGCCTGCGGCCCAGGCGCGCCCCGGCGCGCCCCACAGATCCAGCAGCGGGGCAAACGCAGCAGCAGCCGCGTGCAGCCGGCAACCGCGGGCGGCAGCAGCAGCAGGCAGCATCACCAAGCATAGCTGCCAGGCTGCAGCCTGCAGCAGGAGGAGCAGAAGGCGAGCAGCAGCAGCAGCAGCAGCAGCAGCAGCAGCAGCAGCAGCAGCAGCAGCAGCAAGCAGCATCGGCAAGCAGCAGCAGCAGCAGCAGCAGCAGCAGCAGCAGCAGCAGCAGCAGCAGCAGCAGCAGCAGCAAGCAGCATCGGCAAGCAGGCAGCAGCACTCTCGCGCCAAGCAGCACCAGGCAGCGGCCAGCAGCAGCCGCAGGCGGCGGCTGGGGCAGCCCCGGCCCTGCCCGGGCAGGGCTGGGAGTCGTGCGTGCGAGCGGGGCCTTCGGACTGCTGGCCCGCCCGCCCTGCCCTGGGGGGCGCTGCCCAGACGGCGCTGGGCACGCGCCGCCGACCGCAGAGGGCCCGAGGGCCCCTCGGGCACTGCTCGCATCGGGGGCCCCCCGACGGGGTGGTGACCGCACCGTGTGGTGAGTCGGTGGGGCTTCGGGGTCGCCGCACGGTTTCGGGACTTGGGTCGCTCTCCGAGGATGTCCCGGGCGACTGGAGCCTCGCAGGGTCCCGAGAACGGGCGGTGACGGACCGTGCGGTGAGGCCTCTGCGGATGTCGAGGCCGTCGCCGGGGCTGTCGCCACACGGCTTCGGGACCCCCGATCTCAGACCCGGCTCGGAGGCTCTGAGGCTGCGCCCGGAGAGCCTCCGGGAGGAGGCACGAGGCGCAGCACAGGCGGCAAGGAGGGGCGAAGGAGCTACCAGGAAGGGCCCAGCCACCAAGAGCCGTGGCAACGGCAAGCAGCAGCATCAAGTGGCGACTGCAGCAAGAATCCACATCACCGTCAGCAAGCAGCAGCATGCAAGCATTAAGTCGGGCGTGTCCCTCCACAGGAGGAAAATTCAAAAATAGCCCCCCAAAAAACGGGGACGAGGTTTTTCTATTGTTGACTATTTTCTTACATTTTCTGAGTACTTACCTAACAGCGAAGACTGATAGGTTTCTAATGGGGTCAAAAGAGAGCATCTGATGACTCCCCAGGGGGGTCTGGGCGGGAGCCGGACAGGCGAGAACCGGGCTCGTTTTAAGCAAAGAGTCACACACTTCGTGCTCTTCGACCTCCCAGAACTCCATTCCCGAATGCCCGGAGCCAACTGTAGGCCACTTCGTGCTACTCGACTTCCCAGAACTCCACTCCCGGGCCACATTTTGGATGCCCGGAGCCAACTGTAAGCCACTTCGTGCCCTTCGAGTTCCCAGAACTCCATTCCCGGGCCACATTTTGAATGCCCAGAGCCAACTGTAGGCCACTTCGTGCTCTTCGAGTTCCCAAAACTCCATTCCCGGGCCACATTCTGAATGCCCGGAGCCAACTGTAGGCTACTTCGTGGTCTTCGAGTTCCCAGAACCCCATTCCTGGGCCACATTTTGAATGCCCGGAGCCAACTGTAGGCCACGTCGTGCTCTTCGAGTTCCCAAAACTCCATTCCTGGGCATGATTTTGAATGCCCTGAGCCAACTGTAGGCCACTTCGTGGTGTTCGAGTTCCCAGAACTCCATTCCTGGGCATGATTTTGAATGCCCAGAGCCAACTGCAGGCCACTTCGTGTTCTTCGAGTTCCCAGAACTCCATTCCCGAGCCACATGTTGAATGCTGAGGCAGGCTGAGGCTGAGGCTGAGGCAGGCTGAGGCTGAGGCAGGCTGAGGCTGAGGCCGAGGCTGAAGGCAGACTGAGGCTCAGGCTGAAGCAGGCTGAGGCTGAGGCTGAGGCTGAAGCAGGCTGATGCTGAGGCAGGCTGAGGCTGAGGCTCAGGCTGATGCAGGCTGAGGCTGAGGCAGGCTGAGGCTGAGGCCGAGGCTGAAGGCAGACTGAGGCTGAGGCTGAAGCAGGCTGAGGCTGAGGCTGAGGCAGGCTGAGGCTGAGGCTGAGGCAGGCTGAGGCTGAGGCAGGCTGAGGCTGAGGCTGATGCAGGCTGAGGCTGAGGCAGGCTGAGGCCGAGGCTGAAGGCAGACTGAGGCTGAGGCTGAAGCTGAGGCTGAGGCTGAGGCTGAGGCTGAGGCTGAGGCTGAGGCAGGCTGAGGCTGAGGCAGGCTGAGGCTGAGGCTGAGGCTGAGGCTGAGGCTGAGGCTGAGGCTGAGGCAGGCTGAGGCTGAGGCCGAGGCTGAAGGCAGACTGAGGCTGAGGCTGAAGCAGGCTGAGGCTGAGGCTGAGGCAGGCTGAGGCTGAGGCTGAGGCAGGCTGATGCTGAGGCAGGCTGAGGCTGAGGCTGAGGCTGATGCAGGCTGAGGCTGAGGCAGGCTGAGGCTGAGGCCGAGGCTGAAGGCAGACTGAGGCTGAGGCTGAAGCAGGCTGAGGCTGAGGCTGAGGCTGAGGCTGAGGCTGAGGCTGAGGCAGGCTGAGGCTGAGGCTGAGGCTGATGCAGGCTGAGGCTGAGGCAGGCTGAGGCTGAGGCCGAGGCTGAAGGCAGACTGAGGCTGAGGCTGAAGCAGGCTGAGGCTGAGGCTGAGGCAGGCTGAGGCTGAGGCTGAGGCTGTGACTGCGACTGCCGTTGCCACTGCGACTTTCATCGCGAATGCGACTGCGACTGCGAGAACAGCAGAATTCTACAACTGGATTCTCATGTGAATCTCAAGGGGAATGCTTCCAGGTATGCTCCTACACATCGCTTTTAGGTTGCTTTGCCGGGATAATTCTAATGGTTCGTCCAAAATCCACCTGTAGGGGACATGCCCGACCTAAAGCAAGCAGCAACAACCGGTAATTATCAAACAGCATCCAGCAGCAACAAGAAGCCGTAGCGAGCAGCAGCACGCACGAGCAAACAGCAGGCAACAGCAGCAGGAAGCAGCATCCTGCAGCAAGCAGCATGGAGTAGCAGCAAGCAGCAGTGGGTTGCAGCGAGCGGCTACGCAAGAAATGAAGCAAACAGGTAGGCAAGAATTCAGCGATGCGAGCTCCAGGGCTGCGAAACAAATATCCGATACGTACCCAACGCTTTCTAAACCAGGAGCGGATCTCTAATGGCTTTCGGTTTTCCCGCCACCGTGCCTGGGTTGTGGGTCACAGGCCTCTTAGGATGTTTGTTGGGATGTCGCGGGAGGCCTCTTGGGGCCGCTTTGAGGCCTCCTGGGGGCCGTCTTGGAGCTTCTTGGGGCGTCTTCGGGGCCTCAGGGTTTCTTGGGGGCCTCTTCAGGGCCGCTTGGGGCCTCCTGGGGGCCTCATGGGGCGGAAGACTCGCGGTCCTGGGGGCTTCTTGGGCCGTCTTGGAGCGTCGGGAGCTCAAAAAGTCGAGGACCCCAAAATCATTGGATAACCAAGCTGGAAGATCAGTGATTTTGGCCTCTCGGTGCCCTCTTGGAAGGCTGTTGGGGCTCTCTTGGGGCGTCTCGGAAGCCTCTTGTGCCGCCTTGGGGCCGTCTTGGGCGTCTTTGTGCGATCTCGGGGGCCATCTTAGGCGTCTTGGGGCCATCTTGGGGCGTCTCGGGGCTCTCTTGGACCGTCTTGGGAGCCTCTCGGGGCCCTCTTGGCCCCTCTTGGGGCCCTCTTGGATCTGAAAAAATAACGCGAGAAGATGCGCCGGAGCCCAGGGGAGCCGCGACAAGTTTAAGAAGACTTGGCAATTTGGGCTCCAGGCCCCTTGAAGACTCCTCAGAAGTGAGGACCGAGGCTGAGAGGATGAGGCAACGGACCTGAGGGCACGCCCACTCCGTGCCCAGCGGCACGCCGGCGAATCAACCGGAGAGCTCCATACAAAAGAACACATTGAGAGACGTGCAGCGCTCTTCAACCCTTCGCCAAACAGCATCGAACCACACTCGGCGCCCCCCCAGGGAGCCGCGAGGTCTCGTCTGGGTCCGCGAACATATCCGCTCCACGAGACCTCCGCGGAGCCCACGAAAATGGCGACGGAGGCGCAGTGTGCCAGTCCTCCCTCGGGGAGGCCGCGAGGTCTCGTCCGGATCCGCGTGCAGTCCCCCGACTCCGCTGGGCCTCCTGGGAGCCTGCGACAGCTGCGCATCTGGCAGCCCCTACAGGCAGCCGCGGGGACTCGTCTAGCTTTCGGTCGGGCGTGTCCCCCAACAGGGGGATTTTGGACGAAAAACAAAAAAGTGCAAAAAAATGCCCCCAAAAAATGCCCATACATACTCCGCAAAGAATCCCCCTAATTATTATGGTTTGACTATTTTTGTAGATTTCCCCTGTAGAGGGACAGGCCCGACTTAAGTCTAGATCCGCGTACACCCCACCCCGTTCCCCGTTGAACCTCCCACGAGCCCACGAAAGTGGGGACGTTTGCGCAGTTGACAGCCCCCCAGGGCGCCGCGAGGCCTCGACTGGATCCGCGTACGAAGAGACCGATTTGGCGCGTCCACCTGGAGGCACCGTAGCCGCTTTGGCTCAAGCTACAGGCATCCCAGGAGCCCACGACAGTGGCGACAGTTGCACAATTGGCAGCTCCCCAGGGGACCGCGAGGTCTCGTTTGGATCCGCGTGACACTTTCACTCCGCTGGACCCCCCAGGAGCCCACGAAAGTGGTGACAGCCGGGCAGTAGGCAGCCCGCCAGAGGGCCGCGAGATCTCGCAAGCATCCGCGTACAACTCCATACAGCTGAACCTCCCAAGAGCCCACGAAAGTGGCGACAGTTGCGCAGGTGGCACCCCCCCCGAGGGAGCCGCAAGGCATGCGGGAAAGAGGAAGTAAGAAACATGTAGGCAGAAGGCACAAAGCAAGAGGAGGGAAGTGAGAGGACGAAGACGCGCGAGCAGTACCCTCTCCAAAACTAAAAACCAACGCAGGAGGGCGGGATAAAAGGCAAGCAAACAGGCAACGACTAAAGTAGTGATGCGGGCTGCTTGCGGCTTGCTGCTACTTGCCGTTGCGGCTTCCGGCAAGCAGCAGAAAACCGCAAGCAGCAGCCCGCATCAACAAATTGGCAGGTGCAGCAGATGCAGAAATAAGTAGAAGCCAGAACCAAGCAGGACAAGAGGGTACTAAGCGGCAGCAGGAGGCAGTTGCCTGACGATCACGCACTGAAGAAAGCAAGCGGCTAAACAGTATGTACATCAGACAAGCGGGCAAGCGAACGGCACTCTCTCATGCGAGTAACCGTTCGTGGACGCACGTCCGCAGAGCAGCCCTAGTCAGCTACAACGCTGGGATTAGCGCTTGCGAGAAGGGCTCCCAGTGGCAAAGGGCTCTGGCGCTTCTGAGCGAGATGTTGGAGGTGAAGTTGAAGCCCGACGTCATCAGCTATAGCGCTGGGATTAGCGCCTGCGAGAAGGGCGACCAGTGGCAGCGGGCCCTGGCACTGCTTACCGAGATGCGGTGCGCGAATCTGCAGCCCGACGTGTTCATCTATAACGCTGGGATCAGCGCGTGCGAGAAAGCCAACTGCCTTGACCCCGGGGGGTGGTTCCTTCCTGGACCGAACCAGGGAGTTCTTCCGGGTGGCGGTGTCTCTGGCTCGTAGGTTCCCGGCGTCCAGCCACAGCCTTGCGACCAGCGCGCGCGAGAGAGAAAGGCGGGAAGCCGGTGCGGGCCCGGGTGTTCCTCCTCCTCCTCCAACCTCCCTCCTCCTCCCTCCTCCTCCTCCTCCTCCCCCTCCTCCTCCTCCTCCTCCTCCTCCTCCTCCTCCTCCTCCTCCTCCTTCCCCTCCTCCTCCTCCCTCCTCCTCTCCTCCTCCCTCCTCATCCTCCTCCTCCTCCTTCCCCTCCTCCTCCTCCTCCTCCTCCTCCTCCTCCTCCTCCTCCTCGCCACAGCGCTAGCGCCAGCGCGTGCGAGAGAAAGGCGCGCGAGGCCGCGGGCTCGAGCGCCGCTCCGCGAAGGGCCGGACGCGCGAAGCTGCAGCCGGAAGCAGTCCGCTGCAACGCGGGCATCGTTTGGCATCGCTCGGACGTGTGCATTTTTCCTCGGCGAGGACCATCGAGGAGCAGCCGTGATGATTTGGCGAAAAAGCCGCGCACGAAACCGACAAAAAGCACAGAGAATGGACGTCCGAGCGATGCCCAGATCAGTGCGTGCGGCCAGGGCAGCGTGTGGCAGGGGACCTCGCGACTGCGCAGCGCCTTGTGACGGATGGTCCTGCTTGATGGTGAAAGAGAAATTCCGATGGCGAAAGAAAAGAAGCTTGAACCTGTACTAGACGCTGCGCACAAACACTGCGTAAAAACACGACGCGGGGCTCGGCGCGTCCGGGCAGGCCCTGGCGCGCCGTCATACCTCCCCAGGGCGCTTCCGCCCGGCGCGGCCTCTGGAGCGGGGCGCGGGCGCGGAGCCGCGCCCCGCTCCAGAGGCCGCGCCGGGCTGCACTCGCCCGTCATACCTCCTCGGGGCGCTTCCGCGGCGCTCCCGGCGGCGCTCCCGGCGGCGCTCCCGCTGGCGAGTTCTCTGCTCTGCCGTAGTGCATTTGCGCCAGTGCTTCCTGGCGGCACGCCGACGCGGGGCGCTCCCGCAGCGCTCCTTGGCGGCCGGCTCCCCGTGCGGACCCGGGCGGCGCCGACGAGAGGCGCGGGCGACCGCGGCGTTTGCGCGCGGTGCTTTTTTTCAGGAGGGGAAAAAACACACAGACACAGTTAATCTTCGATTCCCAGGAAAATATTTGAAAATATGGGAAGTGGGGGGGAAGATAGAAACCCAGAAAATATCTGATAATATCGGGATTTGTGTGTATTTATTTGTGTGTCCTGGGGCCCCTTCATTTTTGTCCGCGCAGTGCTTTCACGCAGTGCCTCAAGAGGTCGCGTGCCGATGGCGACGCGCTCCCGCGGCGCCCCCGGCGGCCCGCTCCCTGCGGACTGGGGCGCAGCTCGCGGGAGACGCGGCCGACCGTAGCGTTTGCGCGCGTTTTTTTTGTCTTGTTCTGCGTATTTTTTGACGGGTTTTGTTGGTGGCTTTTTATTGGGTGTTTTTACGTGTTCGTTTACGTGGTTCGTTCTGCGTCTTGTTTTACGTGGTGTTTTTGTTTGGGGTCGCGTGCCGATGCCAACGCGCTCCTGCGGCGCTCCAGCTGCCCGTTCCTCGCGGACTCGGGCGACGCCGACGAGAGACGGGCGACCGCAGCGGTTGCGCGTGGCCGTCCTTTTTCTGCGCAGTGCTTCACGCAGTGCTTTGGCTCGGCGGCGCCGGCGCAGGGCGCACCCTCGGCGCCCCGGCGGCCCGCCCCCTGCGGACTCGGGCGACGCTCGCGAGAGACGCGGGCGACCGTAGCGCTGTGGAGGACGATCAGTGGAGGGGAAGCATGTTGCCAAATAATTCCCAGATGTCTAATAGATGTTTCAAACATGAGTAAAATATGTTCATAAAAACATGTTCGAGGCATAAATTTAGAACATGTTTTACACATGTCAAACACCTTTCAAATTCAATGATAGGACTGTTAGAGTGTCCATTGTCATGGCATCCACAACCGTAGCGTCAGCGCGTGGCTCTTCTTTTTCTGCGTCGTGCTTTCACGCGGTGTTTTCGAGCAGCGCGCCGACGCGGGGCCGTCCCTGCGTCGCTCCAGCGGCCCGCTCCTCGTTTGCGGACTCGGGCGCCGCTCTGCGGGAGACGCGGCCGACCGTGGCGTCTGCGCGTGATTTCCCCTTTCCTGCGTAGTGTGAAGTCTGGCTCGTCCCTCTACAAGAGGAAAATTTAACCATAGTAAAAAAATAGTCTGGGGACTATCTTTGGAGCATTTGTTGACCATGTGGGAGTTGTTTTTTGTATTTTTTTATTTTTCGTCGAGTATCTCCCTGTGGGGGGACACGCCCGACTTAAGCGTATGATTGAGAAACCTCCCCCCGAAAAGTTGGCCCAGCGTTTCTGAATCAACCTGCCGGAAAGCTGGCACGGTTTCTTGAGGGGATCGGTAGTCTTGGATCTTGGAAATGAATAGTGTACGTTCTTGGCTCCAGAAGCTGGCCCAGCGTTTCCTCAAGAAATTTCTGAAAAGCTGGCCCAGGTTCCTTAATTGATAGTTTTATTAATCATATGTTTGATTGTGGTGCTCTCGGGTAGCGTGCCGATGCCGACACGTTCCTGCGCCAAACACGCGCGAACTCCACGCGGAAGCATTGCGTTCATTCGGTACGCGGAACACACTACGTAAGTACATGACGCACAAGCACTACGCAAATACATTACGTGGCGCATTCCATGTCATGCCGAATATGCCAAATTACGGCGGGGCACGGCGCAGGGATGCCCGATACAGCCCCCGGCACAGTAGCGTCACCACGGACACTTCCAGCATTGCCATTGCCCATCGCCCGATCGAGGTGCTGGGCAGCGTCCCCAGGCCTCGCAGTTCTGAGTCCCTTCCCGAGTTCGTGGGTCGATCACGGAAACGCATGACGCGAAAATATTACGCGACAACACTACACGGAATGCTAAGTCCGCGCGGCGTATTGCACTACGCGAAGTACACTACCGATTCTTTTCCCTTCAAGTATTGCACGCCAAACAGCGACGCGAATACCATACACGAAAGCACGACGCAAATACACCACGCTGGAGCACGACGCAAACACACTACGCCAACAGACTGCGCCAACACACGACGCAAAAGCACTACGCAAAAGCACTACGCCTAAAATAACGCGCAAACAATACGCAAAAGCACGACGCAAACAAATACATTACGTATATGCAACATATATATATATATATATATTACGCAAATACACTACGCAAGCACAAAACGCAAATGCACTACTCATGTACACTACGTATGAATATATCTATATATATATATATATATATATATATATATATACGCTACGGAAACACGACGTGGATTATTTCACACTCAGGCGCAACTCTCCTTTGTGACGGGTCAACGAAATGCGGAGGGCGTTGCGACCACGGCCTGCTGCGCAGGCACGATGTCACAGGCCAGTCTGCCAGAACGTTGGCGTCACCGCGAGAGGGACCGTCACATGCCTGCACCCTTGGGAGTCGGACTCCTCCCAGTCTGCGCTCCCCACTCCTCTTGCCTCGCCTTCCCTCCTGGCGGCGGCAGACGGAGACGGGGCCCGGGTTGAGGGGCGAGGGCTTCTTGGAAGAAAACACCCCCGAGGAAAAAAAAAAAAAAGGAGGAGGAGGAGGAGGAGGATCCTTCTCTTCCTCTCCTCCTCCTCCTCCTCCTCCTCCTCCTCCCCTCCTCCTCCTCCCTCCTCCTCCTCCTCCTCCTCCTCCTCCTCCTCCCCCTTCTCCTCCCCCTTCCAGATCCCGACCCACTGCACCGTCGAGGGGGCGCCACGGTCTCCCCAGAAGGATGCATCCCTAGCCCTGCCCTCCCCTGCCGGCCGCCGACCTCCCCCCCCTCGCCGCCCCGCTGCCCGCCTCGGGGGGCCAACTGCCCGCGAGGCTGCGCCAGCGTAGGGCGCGCGAGGGCCTCCTTATCGGCGAGCCTTCCGGTGGCAAGGCGTAGCTGCTCATTCGACACATGCCCCACCAGTCCAAACGATCTCTCTCTCTCTCTCTCTTTGTTTTCTCTCTCTCTCTCTCTCCCTCTCTCCCTCTCTCTCTCTCTCTCTACATATAGATACATTTATGTAGTCCAATTCTTATATTATTATTGATATTAGTATTATTCGTATTATCATTACCCTTATCATTATCATAATTATTATTATTATTATTACCCAGAACTCCCGGAACCTCCCCACGCACCGCTAAACCGGACCCCCCACAGGGACGCTTTGGACGCTCTTTCGGACGTCTCGGCGGCCCCCTGGACGACCTTGGAAAAGGTCCGTTGGCCCTTCCGGGCCTCCAGGGGCGCCATGCTGGGCCTTGCGAGCAGACTCAAGGCGATCAGAGGGGCCATCGGAGAGGCGCAAGAGAGACCCAAGACAGCACAAGAGCGCTCCAAGAGGAACCTCGATGGTCTGAAGACGGCCCACGAGGCCCTCAAGACGTCCCAAGAGGCCAAGACGCCCCAAGAGGCTGTTAAGAGAGCCCCGAAGAAGCAAAATTCTTTACGCTTCGCGTATCCCCACCAGCCCATCTCAAAACAGCAACTCTTGCGAAGCATGCCGACAGTCGTGTTTTTCAGGCGTGTGTCCGCTTGCCCCCGCATATGTCCCCTGTTCCTCCTTCCTCTCGCCTCCTTGTACATCCTCCTTGTGGTGGGAGCGGGAGAAGGACGAGGCGGAGGAGGAGGGAGAGAAAGCGGTGGGATGCAGGAGGGATTTAGCGGAGACGACGACCACAGCGATGATCCTAA